TATAATAATTCTAGTGCGGTAATAATCTGACGATGATTAGAATTTGATGGTGACATATATAACATAGTACATGTTAACTCCTCACACATAGTTTAATGCTTATTTAGGGTACGAATTCGCGTCCATCCAACGGACTTGAACTTTGTCCTCTTAGTTCAACACCTCATCAACAAATTTACATTTCAGTGCCATAAGTGTTTTGTGTGACAATACATTATTCATATAGAAATACTTTAATATACATTTATAAATTAAATGGCACAATCAACAGGAGAATTTACAAACAAAAAGTACACTCATACGCGAAAGTGACATTGTTTTTTCGAATGACGCAACGGTACGTGTCGCAATCGAAACACAATAATTTGTTCGTCCCAGGGAGGAGCGCGAGAGTTAGCGCGCGTCCACTAATGACAGGCCGCGCTGGTCCACGCTCATTCAATGCAAATCCAACTGAACACAACAACTGTTAGACACGGCTTACAAGAATAGAAAGGTACGATCGACATTTGAACGATATTGTGTAATTTGATGTTGTTTTTTTTTATTGGCTTATGCCACTTGGGCAACTTTTCTTGGCGACAGTTAGCCACTAGAACCTCCCATGTGTATTGTTATTGCATCAACGAGTACTGTAGTGGCTTGACATATTTTTATTAGCTCCCGGTTGTTATTGATAAACCTTTGGAGAAATCAAATTATTTATTGTCTATGTCATTTCGTTCATGGTGATAATTATTCTGAAATACTGACATTTAAAATTATATTGTAATGAATTTCACGTTTAAATTCGATAAATTTTAAAAACTTGACAACTAAAAGTAATTTTTGTAAAATAATAATTTGTAAACAAATTTTATCTTTGTGTAGCGTGCGACGTTATTTTTTTTTAAACAAGCATTATTGTTCATCGTGTTTTACTCTTTACTATTTGTAGACAATTAAAATTTAATATTTGACCTTTCTACATGTTCTTGAAGCTCCATCCTCACACAATGACCCGTCGATGACAAGCCGCCTGCCCACGCGCAGGCTCGTTCTAATCACACCTATCTCTCGAGTCCATTCATGCATATTTCGAACGATTCTTTTCCGACCCGAGTGGGCAGGCACCTCGTTGTATTGTTTGAAGCGTGTTTGACGGCTAATCGTTTTAATATTATGGTCAAGTCATTAATATAGCAACGTACGCGTATGATTGTTCGCCCACGCTACTCATTATGTGTATGTTGAGTAAATTTGATGAATAAACAGTGATGGCGTTACTTGTTAAGGTAGGTACCGTCATCCTTTGTGTAATTTACAACAAAATTTACTGTTAGGAAATGTATTGCTTCAAAACATTCTTATAACATTCAACCGTGCGCATGAGTTGAAAGGGTGAGCTTTTTTTATGAGTAGTAATTATCTTTAATGAAATATCAATACAGCATGTTCTATTATTAAATATAACAAAGTTAATCGTTTAAAAACTGAATAAATTAAACTAAATATGTAGCAAATATAAAAAGACTTACAGAAAAGAATCAACATCTACTTTTTCAATTGACTGTACAACAAATCTTTATTGGTCATTGCTTCCAGTTTTTCAACAATGGTGTCGTTATAATATAAGCGCATTGTAACATTATTTGAAAAAAAAAAAATAAGTGCAGGTTTTAAGATTCAAATTTGGAACCGGCGTCCTCGCTGGCCGGTATGATAATAAGATTCTAAATGTCAAATCTCGTTGATGAGTCGGCTTTAGACACGCCCACTGAGATGTGTACATTCAATGGGTCATCGTTCAACTTCATTCATGTTTCCATCAAACTTGTTTTGAATATCCGGACTAGTTTTTGTCAGAGCCCGTTGAATTGATGATTAGTTTGTGGTCATTTAATAGTGTCGCACTTCACTGCATATTATACAAACAAAGTCTACCTGATGCATTAATCTGTCCTAAAGCGTAAATTAAAATATAAAATATATGTATAGTCATTTTATTTGATGAAGGTAAATAAATAATGGATTAAGGTTTTATGTAAATGATTATGTTTGTATCCTTTAATTTAATTTTAAGTGTTATTGTAAAATTGCACATGCAGTAGTTTAATAAGAATATCTTATGTAGAATGTAACTCAAAATGGTTATTTGTCTACTGCAGTTTTAAAAAACGAATCACGGTAAACAGGTATGTACAAAAATATAGAGAACGATCGAAAAACTACACGGTCAACGGAAAAAGCTGTGTTAAAGCTTTTTGTGTAAACGCCTTTGTCCATATTTTTTAGCCGCTGAGGCCCATTTATGCTTTTTTGCAACAAAAAAATGGTTTTATAAGAACTCAAAGGAAACGATGCGAATAATTCCTTGGTTCATGTTACGATTAAAAAAGACGTTTTTTCACTTAGACTATTTCTAAACGCCCACATGCATTGTTCGATCTTATCGATCTAATCTCCTTTTGATAGACCTTCCCAGTGTGATGGACCCCGTCTTTTATTGTCCAGCTTTTTTGAATTTTTTCCATACCCTGATCGGTCCACGTATGAAAGAGTTGATTGATGTATAGCCATGATTCACATAAGAAAAGGCTTAATTTGATTTAAGGTGTGCTGTAGAGGCTGTACTTATAGCTGAGCGATTATAGATAGAAATTAAAATGTATAATTTTGACAAAATATATGGAAAGATTTGAACTTATAATAAATTTAATTCTTAAAATGTGTTTTGATCATAAGTCCAGCTTTTAGTTTCTTAAAACAATGGCTTTGAGAAACAAAAAAGCAGCGCTTGCCGAGTTTCTTGCCAGTTCTCAGTTTAAGTCTGGTTATCTGTAGGCCAGGGTAGTGGCCCGAATTATGTTTTCTATTTCCGAATTCGAACCTATTTTTACACGAAAGGTCATTAAAGAGAAAATTGATTCTCTAAATGTCGTGCAAGAGTTTACTCATAGTGTAATTTTCTTATGAAGTCTAGAAAAAATACAAAATGTACGCTCTACCTTTTTAAAGTAGAAACAAGTAATTTTTTTTTATATATATTAGTAAAGTCTCTTTTTCTATCAAATTCGTAAAATAAATGTCACAACAGGTAGACCAACCATGCTTAATATTCTGCGGTCATTTTGCCTTAGTTTCAGCCTAGCTATGGTCAATAAACATTATTTTTGATTGCTCCCTTTTTTGGGTCCGCGATCGTATCTAAGACACATGTTGGGACACACTAATGATTTTGAAAAAAAAATTATCTTGTCGCCGTCTTGATGGTTGTCAATATCATTTGTAGTAACTACCTAAAAATATTTTTTATTGGTTTTTAATTTTTAAAAGATTCTTAGGGAATAAGTTTAGATTTTTTTAAAGGTAATTAATACTGTCATACCTTTTCGTTTATTATTACCTTTTTTTTATTCTTATTTATTATTTAAAGAAATTTGTGTAAAGTTTATAAGACCGTCCCATTTTGGTCGCAATGGGGACTTAGCTATATTTTTTTAAGTCAATAGCAAACGAGTTTCATATAATCTTATTCTCTGAATAAAGTATTGACTTGTACATTATTTTTAAGATTGATAGACGATATTCTGAATCTTTTATCTTAGTTACGTGCGATATCTATAAATCTAAAATATTTATTTATTTATTGTAACTTTCAAATAGAGAGATTTCAAATAGATTGTAAGGAAAAGTATTTATCAATTTATGGACACATCAGTTTGTAAAATTAATTAGAAGACATTTTAATAGAAAAATCTCTTATAACTAATTAATTTACTTTCGGTAAGAGTTCTTTTACAAGATGTTGTATTCCAATTAAGATTTTTTTTTCTAGATTTCATTTGTTTGTGCGTTAGAAGTAAAGTTTTGCTAAATTTAATATATCAAAATATGTAGTATAAAACTACTGCTACTGTATCTATTATAATCTTAACTTAAAACTTTGAATTTTCCATAATTGAAAAAGATTATATTTAATATGAATTTCAACATAACAGCGCCACGCATTTCTAAGAAAAAGGTTCTTGACAGACATACAGACTTTTGAGGTATAGTACCCTAAAAAACAGTCACTGATTAAGATTTTACAGACGTATAAGGGTCCAATATGACTTGCAACCACACGAGATGATTTATGCAAAACGTGGTTGGTGTCCATAACGGTTCATAATTTTTTGTGACACAGAAAAAATGGCGTCCAAAAAAGGCGGGAGAAAAAAGTTTCTGTGAAACGTTTGCCGAAATGGGCCGTCTGATTTTGGTTGACGATAACAAACACTGCGTGTTAAGAGTTTATAATTCGATATGCGATTTGGATTTCTTTGGAAGATCGCAACATTTCGTATATGTACTTATATACTATCCGTGCATACTATGATGAGTATTCACTCATTTTGATTGACATTTCAGACAAAAAAGCTGAAAAATATAGGTGTTATGTTCTTTAAAAAGTACGCTTTCTTTTTTCTATCTACAGTAATAAAATAAGAGATACGATTTTATTATTTGTTTACATCGAATATGCTCCGAAACTCCTAGGCTAAAACTCCTAGACTAGATATATAATATGGATTTGAAAACTACTAGCAGCTACATTAGGTACCTATACGTGGCTATAATTTAAGTGGGAAACAAAAACAGCTAGTTTTATATAAATTTATTAAAGTATACTTTTTTAAATATCTATCGCTAACAATAACATTACTAGTTTTATTTTTTACTATCGAACTAATATGATTATATCAACATCATGATAATAATATTTGTTGTTCTAAAAACTGGTTTTACTTGATAATAAAGAAGTTATCACAACTTTACTGTGAAAAATTACCGTCACCATGAGAAATACTCTTAGGAAAGCAATAACACATACAATTCTCATAATATTAAACTGCACCCCCAAGATTTTGATCTCGGCAACCGTTTTTTGTTCAGTCCACATTTAGGAATCTCATATTTCGTCAAAACTCCGGTGAATACTGCACCCCGAATTCGGTTATTTCGTGGAATGACCACGAATTATATATTTTTGTTACATCATTTTACGTGTTTTGTTTGTTTAATAATAACGAGGTTATTTGTCATGTTTATTTAATGACAATAAGATTGAAGAACAAATCAATGATAATGTAAAGCTGTAGTGCGAATATATTTCTTTTTCTGAATATATAAAGTCCTTCATGTTGGAGTCATTAAATGCACTACAGTCTCAAATCCATTTAGTTGCAAAGACAGTTGATCAAGTGGTAATGAATGGCCGGAGAAAGGTGTTAATGTTTCATGGCATTCCTGAACAACTGAATGAAGATACCTCTCAGCTTATATCACGGGTTGTTCTAGACAAATTAAAAGCTGATGGTTTTGCAATCGGGGATATTAAAGAATCATACAGGCTGGGTCGATCCAGTAACCACAATAAGCCTCGACCTATTATTGCTAAATTTCAGCTGAATAGTACTCGAAGCAGGATTTGGTCCAGCAAGTCAAAGCTGAAGAATACTGGTATAACCTTGTCTGAATACTTGACGCATTCTCGTCGCACTGTGTTTATGGCTACCCGTGAAAAGTATGGAGTCAATAGATGTTGGACTCGTGATGGCGTCATACTCGTGCTTGGCCTTAACAATACCCGGCATCGCATCACATGCATGGAAGAGCTATATTCGATTGACCCCGAGCCTGCCAACTCTGTAGCTTCTCTGAAAACCGCACCCAAAACACGACGGATTGCAGCCACAAAGAAGTAATGTACACGATCTTGCATTCATTAATTTTCTTGTTTTTATATTTTGCATAGTCCACCTCAGTCTACCTTCTGTTAACTTTATTTTGATTATTACTGAATAATGGGTAGTCACTGAAAATAATATAATTTTGTTTCTTTTTAATATTTTGAAATTTACTTGTTGTATTCAGTTTGATTGTTTATGTGAATGTCAAAAATGAAACGTCAGTTTTGATTTTTTTATATGTTACAATAGAATCTTAGACCATACAGCCATGTCACTGTCACCTGTAAAAGTAACATCCAAATTATTGGTGCCAACATTGTATTTGTATATCAGTTAAAAAATTATTTCCTTTAATTTTTCCCTATTATTAATTCTTTTTTATTATATTAATTTAGTTAACACTAGCGGGTGGTATATGGTGTTCTTGCCGGTATTAGTTTTACTTTGCTTGTATAGTAATACTATTTATATTATTTATATTTATTTTCATATTTAAGTACTTATGTTATTTTCTGATGATGACAATTCTTCTGATAATTTTTTATCAGCATGTAGTAGCGTAAATGATAGTTTTGCAAGTATTTCTGCTTTATCCGACTCGCTGAGTTCTTGTTTCTCCGATGTATCAAAAAATTTCAATGTTGTCCATATAAATGCCCAAAGCATTCCGGCTCATTTTTCTGATATGCTGACAAATTTTGACTGTAAGAACATTCATGCCATACTTGTCTCAGAGTCATGGCTTAAGCCATGTCTTCCCTCTTCTACATATTCTTTGCCAGGCTTTAACTTAATAAGGAATGACCGTACGACGCATGGAGGGGATGGTGTCGCCATATATCTCCGTGCTCATATTCCATTCACAGTGGTTGATATGTCACCTCAGCCACCGCCACAGAATGCTGGTGAACACCTCTTCTTGGAGATTAGCCTGTGCCATACTAAAGCACTTCTCGGTGTGTATTACTGTCCCTCTTCTCGTATAAACTATTTTTCTTCTCTTGATAATATATTGGAGTCCCTTTGTCCTTCTTACAGTCATACTATTATCATGGGTGACTTCAACACTTGTCTTCTTAAAAATGACTTCCGTTCAGCAACTTTTCATTCGATTCTCCAATCTAATAATTTATTCTTACCTTCTTTGAATGCCACCCATAATTTTCCCAACTGCACTCCCTCGCTTCTTGATATTATCATCGTCTCGTCTTCTCAACATGTTGCTAAACATGGTCAATTCCCGGCCGATGCCTTCTCTTACCATGACCTGATTTTCCTCTCATGCAAGATCCGCCCACCAAAAGCTAAGCCGAAAATTCTATTGCAGCGTAATTTTAATGGTATTAACAACAGGAAACTTTGCGAGGATGCTGCTAAAATTGATTGGTCACAGCTTCTCAACAGTAACTCTGTAAATGAAAAAGTGAATCTTTTTATATCAGCGCTCACAGTGTTGTATGATGTTCATGCCCCTATTCGACCAGTGAAAATGAAGCAACGACCATCTCCATGGCTTACCGATGACATTAAACGTTTATCAGAGCGGAAGGCTGCTGCTAAAAATAAGTACAAACGTAAACCTTCTTTCTCCAACTGGGAAAAGTATGTTGAAATTCGCAATCAAAGCAATAAGGTGTGTAGGAATGCACAACGCCAATTTATTCACAACTCCGTTGAAGTCGAAGATCCAGCAAAAGTCTGGAAATTTCTAAGATCTCTGGGCATAGGAAAACAGCGTCAAAAATCTACCTCTAGTAATTTAGATATTAATTCCCTTAATAAGCACTTCTCGTCTTCACATAGCCTTGATATAGCAAGCAAGTCTAACACTTTGGATTATCTTTCATCTCTTCCGTGCCCAGACTATCCACGTTTTTCATTTCATCAATTTTCTGACTGTGATGTTAAGAAGAGCATTATGTCAATAACCTCCAGTGCTGTTGGTGTGGACTCTATCAGTAGGAAAATGATTACCCTTATCCTTGACGAAATCCTTCCTATTATCTCCCATATTCTTAATCAATCCATAAACACGGGTATATTTCCTTCAGTCTGGAAAGATGCTTCCGTTATTCCGTTACCCAAAAAATCGAAACCACTATCCTTCACAGACTATAGGCCTATTTCCATTTTACCATTTCTTTCCAAAGTTCTGGAACGCCTTATTCACAACCAGTTGTCCAGTTTCCTTTTCAAAAATCAACTCCTTAATTCCTACCAATCAGGTTTCCGCGCTGGTCATAGTACTACTACTGCACTGGTGAATGTAACTGAAGATATAAGATCAGGAATGGAACAAGGTAAAGTTACGGTTCTCTCTCTACTTGATTTCAGTAATGCATTTAACACCGTTGACTTTGACATTTTGCTTGGCATATTGCGCTCTATTAACATATCTCCGGCAGTTATTGACTGGTTTCGTAGTTACCTGTCTGGGCGCCGACAGCAAATACGCATTGAGGATTCCTTTTCTACTTGGTGTGATATTTCTGCTGGTATACCGCAGGGTGGCGTTTTATCTCCATTACTTTTCGCTATATTTATCAACTCCATCTCACGCCAGTTAGTTTCATCTTACCACCTTTATGCAGATGATTTACAAGTTTATTCCCAAGCTTGTCCTGATCAACTGTCTCTAGCGATTAATGCGCTGAACCGTGACTTAGGAACAATTTGTGACTGGAGCAAGTCCTATGGCATAAAAGTAAATGCACTGAAAACCCAAGTCATTATTGTTGGAAGTCCCGCAATGACAAATAAAATCAACCGCTCATGTTTACCTGCAATTTTGTTCGATGGTGTTGCTTTAGTCCCTAGTGATAGCGTACGAAATCTTGGGATAGTTATAGATAAAAACTTGACATGGGGACCACAGATCGAGCAGACGAGTCGGAAAATGTTTGCTGCAGCTGGTTCCTTGAAGAGGCTACGTAACTTCTTACCAGTGGCCACTAAAATTGCGCTCGCACAATCCCTTCTTCTTCCAATACTGGATTACTCCGATGTCAGCTATCTAGACTTAACTGAGGAGCAACTGAATAAACTTGAGAGACTTCAAAATTTTTGTATTAGATTCATATTTGGGTTACGCAAGTATGATCATGTATCTGATTTTCGCACTAAGCTCAAGTGGTTGCCAATTCGACTTCGTCGGAATGCACATATTGTTTCCCTGCTTTACAGTATACTGTTCAATCCTCTCTCACCAACTTATCTTAAGGAACGTTTCAAGTTCCTTCGTGATACGCACTGTCGTGTTTTGAGATCATCGGAGAACCTAAAACTGCAGATGCCTGTGCACTCCACAAAATTCCTTGATAAATCATTTGCAGTTCAGGCTGTTCGCTTGTGGAATGCCTTACCTGAAGAAATAATGCGCGCTCCTTCATTAAAGTGTTTTAGAAATATGTTAAAGGAATACTATTTATCACTTTAGGAACAAATGCTATCGTATCATCCTGTTATATTTATCTTGGTACTGTTTTATTTTATATGTTTGTATGTATATTGTATTATATTATATATGTTTATTATATTATATTATATATAGTATATTTATTTTATATATATGTAGAGGTATGTATATGTTATTTGTATGTATATATGTAGGTATGTTTCTCTCGCAATGTAAGACACCATCTACTACCCGTCTATTTAGTAACAGTCCAGTCTAACCTACGGTTGCCTGGCAGAAATTGCTCTTTAGCGATAAGGCCGCCGATTGTACAACTAAACTGTATCAATTGTAATTCCTCTATATTTTATGGTGTACAATAAAGAATTTATTCATTCATTCATTCATTCATATATTTCAGGTAAGTTTCTTAAACTTGGCCATAGCAACTCGGGCGTTTCGGTTTCTTGGATTTTATTGAAAGGTTCTTAAAGTAAGCTGATTTCAAAAGTCTAAATCTCAAGCATAAGATATTTCCTGTGAAAATTACTTCTCAAGATACTTCTCAGTTATGATATTTTGTACTTTCGAAATCTATCTTCAGTTCATCTCGTTCACACAGATGATGCGGGAAATCTTTGTTGTCTATGACCTAAGGTTTTATAGCATGTGCTTAAATGCTCTTTGACAATTAAAAGAAAACAATTCCATTTTTAAAACTATTAAGTGATGACTTTTAAGAGGTCTTATTTCTTAAAAAAATAATTCCATAAGTTCAACGGTAATAAGAAGATCTGTTTTAAAATTAAAGCACGCTTTCTCTCACCTCCCCTTGGTGGATGTGACACATATGGTCCCCAGACACATGTGGCCGCTGGCCCACATGATGGACACTGCCGTGTGAACCGGCGACATCTTTGGAACGCCTTCGTACAATCAGCTAAGAAAATACAATTCGGAAATTAGAATATAATCAAATTATTGTATTCGATCAAACAATTATCATAATGTTATATTATAAAAAATAAACTATGAGCTTAAATAATACTCGTAGCTAAGTGGTTTGCTCGCCAGTTTCAAGTTGTTACCATCTAGAAGGTTCCACGTTCGATTCTAAATCCGATCAATGTATTGAAACACTTGACTTACTAGATACATTTCATATATTTTCTCCGGTCTGGGTAATACTTTCGTTGTCTCGGATACTAAATAATACTAGTGCTTTAGCTACTTGGAAACTTTACTTATGGGCTTACGTGATGTCGTCTAATATTGATTTTATTTTTCCTACACACGTTTGACGGAACAATTAAATTATAAATATATTAATGACAGCTTTAGTTTAGGCTATTTGCAGTATTTATACAAAACACGCTCACAAATAGTGGAAATAACAAACAAGTACAAATAGGTTTATACTTAAAAACAGTCTTTTTTAATTTTATCTATGATAAAAGACAATTTATTAGTAATAATAAAATCATATTGGTAGCATCATTCTGCTAACAGTGAACACGGCTCCATAAAGAAAAAGCTATCATAATTATGTTAATAGCTAAAATGGAAGAAGTAAACTTATTATATCATTGTATACAGGAGTATAATCAATTATATTTGATTGCGTATGACTTCGGAATAACGTTAAAACAGACCCGAATTAAATTTAGAATTTTGTTTGTTTAGCTTAATTAAGAGAGTAGCACATTTAATAGAAATGGCACTTGTTATTATTTAAAAAAAAACTTATCTACGCGAACATACGCTGCGAGCAAAATTATTTAGTACTTTGACCAGATGGGTCACTTATGATGTTATGATATGTATGTACTTACTGTACATTTTCATTCGATATATTATTATTGAAAGTAGGTCGAG